ATATCTAAGATCTATCGCTATCATACAATGAGTTGATGAGCCAGATGATCATGCGATCATAGTCTTTTCAAAACACAGAGAGCAAAAACAGTCGTACATAAGAGTGGATTTCTGATATCATATGAATGTTACATAATAAGAAGAGATAAATCTATCAATATCTCTATGTTGGGTATATGAATTAAGAGGCTAATGTCGAAGTTCATATAGGAAGGAAGAAAGCAGATAATTGTTGTATATGAAGAGGAAGAGAAAGAGAGAAGAGGAAAAGTATACAATCATAGATTGTCATAATACCAATTATCTATATTTTGAAACTTAAATTCAACAGTCTACCCTTCCGTTCAATTATTCGAGTATTCATATACCTGCGAGTGAGTAAAAGAGTTCTGAAGGGACATCATTTTAGTGAGGATGAACAGAAGAGTTTTGAAAGCAGTCGAATATTCAAATAATTGAAAAAAAGGCTGCAAAAATAGTTGAATAGTTGAGTCGAAATTTCGAGTTTCGCATTACTAAAAGACGCAAGGATCATAGTAGCTATTAATAGCGGACTGCTGTTTCATGTGTGAAAAATGATCATGAATAATCGACATTACATAAATAACAAGAATGATGACAGTTCTTTGGTTAGTTTTGAAAAAGGTTGAAATTGACGAGGACCGTTCCCGAGACATCATTCGGAAGCGCAAGTTTTATCTGAAGTATAACCCAATCAGTCGAGGGTAATGCGAGTCTCCCTCGACGAGCGTTATTTATAAATTATACTGAAACAAAAAAAAGTTCATCTTCATGCATTATCATCACTATTATTAACAAATTCAAACATCAAACGTTCATTAATTAATGTTCATCTGACTTTATTTGTAAAGAATATGAGATAAAAACTGATAATTGTAAGAACAAGTGAACATAATCAATTACTGAATTGTTCAGAAAGTATTTATTTCATATTCAAACGGCATTTAAAAGAAAAGAAAAGAATGATCTAGATATAATTTCAAATTAAATTGTATAATATCTAAAAAAAGAATGAATAATTGATTAGTTTACACACGAATGAAGTAATTAGAATATGTGAATGAATAATTCTAGTTCATTCTTATAGCACATTTTAAGAATCTTCGATAAATGAATAAATATTTTTGAATTTCAATAAAACATAAGAGAATATTGTATCTATTTTCTAGCAGATAGTTATTATTAACATTTTCTTTCTAATAATTACCTTTCCAAAGGTAAGAAAAGCTATCAAGCGAATAAAGCAATGAATTTATTTTTTTTTATTAACAAAAAACCTCTGAAGATTATTTAACATTTTATAGTGATATATATATATATAGACAGATGATAATTGAGTTGGGAATGAAATCGAATCAAGTAAAAAGAAATGCAAATGTTTAGAAAAGAAAAGTTTTTATTTATGATCCAAATCAAGTTCATTATTTGTATCAATAGGTTCAGAAATTTCCGGTGCTATTTGATTATTATTATTAAAAGAACAAAGATGTTTTATTTGATTCCAATATTTTTTAATTAAAACAATTTTAACTTGACGTCGAAAACGTGATGATGTAAAATAAAAAAGATAAAAATTAATCTAAAAGAAAACAAAATTAAATAAAGAAAAATCTAATCTAATTGATTAATTTACTCCTGTATTTATTCGAACAAATGATTGAAAAAATGTTTGAAGTAATTGTCTAATTGCATATTCTAATGATTGACTTCGCGGGATTGGATTATTAATACTATAAATTCGATAAAAACTATATGGAAATATTAAAATTATAAAGAAAATAACATGAAGAAAAACCATTGCACTCATTTGTTGATCTAAATGACGACGAACTATTGGAATTTGTCGTCGAATTATTCGACGAACATTTTGATAAGCAAATAAACTAAATAATCCTGAAATTATCATAGGTAAAAATCCAGTTAAAACAGGATAGAAAAAGAATGATGCATATTGAACTGCATTTGGATCAAATATAACACATCCAACTAATGGTTTTATTGAAAAAAATAAAGCAAAAGTAATACTATGAATAAGACAAAGACAAAGAATAATAACAGCAGAATATCGAGCGAATTTTATTGTACAAAATTGTCGTCGATAAAAATAATAATGTGTAGAAAAATATTGATCGGCTGATGCACAACAAATCATAAAACATCCTATTAATAAAAAGATTTGTGCTAACATCCATCTCATTTTACACCAAATATTTGAACGACTTGTTCCATCATCACCATAGATTGATGTTAGAATTGTTAAACTTAATGAAAGAAATTCATAGAATAAATTTGAAAGAAATTCTATTTTAAGAAAAAATACTGATCGATTTTCATGAAAAAGTTTTAATCGAGTAAAAACAAGAAGATTTATTAGATTACCAATCATTCCCAAAGATATAATTATATAAGCATTATAAATACTATATTGAATTGAAAAATTAACGATTTCTATTGATGACATTTCTTATTTAAATATATCAATTCTGAAAAAAAAAGTAAAAGATTTAATGGATTTTTATCGTGTCATTTATCTAAAGTTGAATGAAATCATTATCAAATTACTTTCATCTAAGAAAAAAGAGAAAAAACTATATCATTTCTTCTAGAGATAATGAAAAGTATCACGAAACAGAAAAAGATGAATTGATCTAGAAAGAATTTTTTTCTAACATGAAAGATAATGTCGTATGTAATTATTAAAAGTACTGAGAATATACTTGATGTTTAATTTATCGAGTCTTTAATGTTATACTATGCAATTGAATTAAATATCAAAATTTATGTTCTGTGTTTAATTCCAGAAAAAAATTATCGAAAACATTCATCTTTTCAAATCACAATTTCCATTGATATAGAAATGGAAAATATTTCGTGTAACACTTCAATCTGTTAATAATCTGAATGATATTCTATTCAGTTCGAAATTATCTTTCTGAACAGAGAAAGTATGATGCTAAACACTGAGGAAAGCTCTTGTACTGCAATATTTGCACTTTCCTCGGGATTTTCTAACGCATGTTGAATTTCACTTTGCTTCCTAGCAGAAATATTAACAAATCTACCTTTTTTTTTTGAGAACTGCAATCATCAATTAGTAATCATGATATAGGACAGAATAATTTCATATGAACCATATTTTTTTCACTGACGTCAGTATAACAGACGAATGCATTCGAAAGATTTGCTTGAAAAAAAAATAGGCAGATATATTCGTAAAGCCATGGACCTATTAAAAGACCCGGGTCTTCTATTTTGTCATTTCGCTTACAAATTTTTAGAGGGTCTTCTATTATGTCCTCTAAAAAGTCATGTTTTTATAGATGTATAGATTGGATTTTCTGAATATCACTTATTATCATGCTATTTTATTATAAAAAAAATATTTTTCATCTATCTGCATTAATGTATAAAAAAAAACAAGTGCGCGTTCTACTGATAAAATAAAACTTCAGAAAAAACATCTATC